AAGCCTTCCTCGTCCGTACTGAGAGCACCATCAGCACTTTCGTGCTCTTCATCCAAACGCACCGGGTCTCCTCCACGCCACTCACCACGTGCTGTCCTTTCCCTTCCCACAGCACACCAGTCACACAGTCCTTCCGCAGCCGCGGACCGCGTGGATGCTTTCACAGTGGGGTCTACCTTCGAATGGAAGTCGCTGTCCTGATAACAGGTTCTGGTCTCTGGAGTTGTACTTCCAGGCCTAGCACGGAGCTTGCCACATGTCCAGTCAGTGTTGAAATAAAAGCAGTCACTTGACCAAAAGGCACCGGTAATAACAATGTGAGCTGTGAGAAGTAAGTGTAACCTGGAAACAGTTATGTTTTGTTTTTAAATATAACTACTAGAAAGAGGTGTTTCCTAAAACTTCTTGTTGCGCATGCCCTGATGTGCTATTTTATTTCCATCGTTTACTACGATATTGCTTTTCATCAGAATACCAATATAACCCATAAAGCGATCTTTTCAACATTTTTGCCTTAAAGGCTATGCATAAAACTCAGCCAGGAGTTCTGCATAAAGGCACCATCAGTAAATATTTCTAGGGCGAGTGGACGGCTAATCTACCTTAGCAGCATCCTTTATTCCTTTCTGATCAGGTACCTATGGATTACACAGGAAAAAGTACCGTGCCCTTCAAGACATCCCTCAAATCACTCTCAGCTTTCATCATTTTCTGCTGCTTTCTCCTGACTGCTGCTTTTGTTCTTTGCCTGTGTGTCGCCTTGTTTCCGATTGCCTGGCATAACGCTGCCCGTGAATGTTGCTTTGCTATTTGTCCTTCTGATTCTACTTGCTCACTCTGGCTTAGCCAATGTCTATGCTCTGATACCTGTTGTGAGCCAGCTTCCTGGCTTTCCCATGCCTGATTCCCTCCTCTCTACCCCACCAGGCAGGAGGGCATGGTTAGAAAAACACTAGCTTGAAATCAAGTCCCAGCTCTGACACTTCTGCGTCACCTATGGACCTCATGAGAACCCTTGAAATATGCTTTTATAAAATGACTGCTTTTAAGGGTGGGGACAGAGTAGAAGAAAGCAATAGAGGATGCTGAGGAATCCGTGGAGTAGGTGGAGCAGGGGTCAGGCCCCAGAGCAAGGGGCATGAGTGACGGTTTTGAAAATGGCTTGAGAGCTGCAGCCATGGGAGGACCACTGCTCGGCAGAGCTGCAGTAGCCCCGGGACACAGACACTTCCAGAATGATGCCAGAGCAGGGAGGGCATGGCATCCCTCTTTCCCCCACTCCGAGTTTCTGCAGGAACCTCCTCTGGAAACCAGAGGGAGGGAGGTCGGGTCACTTAGTCTTCGAAGTCACCATCCTGAGGGACAAGAGAGGCAGACAGAACACATCTTGGGTGTTATTCAAACATCTATAATCTTTTCTTTTTCTTTTTTTTAATTTTTTTATTTTTTTCTGGTACCGGGAATTGAACTCACGACCTTGCACTTGCCAAGCAGGCGCTGTGCTGTTGAGCTAAATCCCCAGACCATATCCATAATCTTTTCTACATGAATTTGAGTGACTTTTCCTTTCTAACTTCAGTTTTCTCATCTGTAAAACAATGTGTTCTGGGATAAAGCATACAAATGCAAAGGCACGAGTTGCTCATCAATATTGTCTCCATCTAACACTGTCCACTGCGGTACTCTGATGTCTTCGAGAGCAGTTCCTCAACATAAAGCTGGGACTGCACCACCCCAGCCTCGCTGCTGACCTGCTGAAGAGCTTTCTGGAACAAAAGAGATATGGACATCAGTCCTTATTTTTAAAAAGGCATGACTAGGAAAAATAAAAGTGAGTTTCTTAATTTGTATTCTAAAAAAGTAAGGAGTAACACGAAATGAAAGCAAATCCCTAACTCAAGAAAGCCCACATCCTTCCACATCTCTGCTGCTTAACAGCAAACCACAGGAGTGGCATCTCCAGGAGATGTGGGGGTCCTTTTCCCTACTTTCTGAAGGAGTCTGCCCAGAATCCAGAACCTAAAATTTCTTCTTGCTTGATATCACAAAGTCTACATGTATATAGAGAGATTAAACTACTCCTGGATTTATCTTCTTGGGACAAAGTGATCTAGGATTCTTGTAACAGGTTAGCCATTTCCAGAAAATGAACACATTTATAAGCAGACTTCTAAGTCCGGACTTGTCCAATTAAACACAACTCTGTAAGTGCAAGTTGTGACATCACACAACTAGAAATAGCACTGACATTTGCAATCACAAGGCTGTCTTTCTCTTTTGGAGATACTGCCATTATTTCTGGAGCTAACTGGGACTTCGGAAATCACTTAGTTGAATTTCCTCATTCTTCAGATGGAGAAACCTGGGAACCAATAAAAACACAGAAAAAGGGGGCTCCCTGTGTCCCCGGGTCCTCATCTAATTCCTTTTTACCACAAAACACAATCCCTTTGCATTAAAGCTCTGTAATCAAGCACAACTTTGAGGAATTAAATTCTTTATAGTGAGTATTATTGGATATTCACTTTTTAACTGAGGCCAAAAATCAACTGATCTGTGAAAGAAATATTTTAAAGCACAGGCATACCAGACAGTCCACAGTTTTATAAATGTCCCAGAACTTCATCTGGGAGGAAGAACATTCTTTCTTGTTGACAGAAAGTAATCCATCATGGGTCTTAATTTTCCTAATGCTATATAACCATTTAATCACTTTTTAAATGGCTACAATCATTCTACGTCCTTCTGTCCTCATGAAATAGTAGTTGTCCTTCCTTTACTCACTTCAATGACTTTTCAGATCTGTCTGCTCTGTGTCTCAGAGATGACTTCAGCTGCCTCAGCCACACAGACCCGGCCAGCGGTACCTTGCCTGACTTCCTCCCTCTGATGCTTCCAGGCCAGCAACCGGAGAGCTGAGCACTTTCAGAATCTGCATATTAGCTCTGCACTATAATGACTGATGTCAGCCTTGGCTTTGCCAAACTTCTCTCATCACTGCTAGTTAGAGCCCATTCCAAACCGTGGGGCTTGTGCTGCCGCGCTGGAGCACAACCCTCTCCACAAACTTGCTGTACGGATTCAACAATATGACAATCACTTTCTCTCCTTAGAGTACCATGGCTGCAATGGGTAAAAATAACCTGTTATTGTTGTCACTGCCTGTTTGGGGAGGCAGTGGGAAGAGGGGAGATATCACAGTACCCAGAGTGGAGAACCCTCTCTCCTTACCCAAATGATTCTCTCAGCCTGAGTCTCTTAAATGTCTATCTGCTTATCCAAATTCCCTGTTTTTTGTTGTTGTTGGTTTTTTTTTACAAATGCAAGAAGAAACTGTCCACTTCTACTCGGAGCCTGTGGCTTTTAACTTGCCTTAGATTTGAGCACTAAAATCCACTGTCAGCTACAGGCTTCTGTGAGTGTTGTTTTCTTTATTGGGATTTAAAAAAAAAAAAGGTCCTATGTTACACAAAATGGGCCCTAATACGCCTTCAGTAAGCTTCTAGGGCAGTTGAGGGAACTTACGACTCAGCCAGGCTAGTAAATACACATTTAATAGTACAGGAACACGGGTCAGAAAAAAGTTATTCTACAGCACTGCTGAGAAAGAAAGAATCCTCTCCCCATTGGTTTAATGTATCCCTTATGCTCCCTCTGAACACCGCCTGTGCCTTGACAAGGTTTTCCTACCCATTGTATCCAGCACTTCTCTGCTAGGATGGCTCAAGAACCGGAGCCTTTCACTGGGTGTGTCTGTTTATTTACACTGTCATTCCTGCTCTCCTCCAAACTAACATATGTCCGCTGAGCACACGGTAAGAAGTAAGTGTCTCTTTTCATGTTTATTTCCCCAAAGCTGTTCACCAAATTGCTTTTTTACATCCCTTTTGCAATCTCCTCCCATCCAGCTCAAGTAAACCAGATTAAAAAGAAGTCTCTGGAGTCAGTGTCCAAGGGAGCCTCCCACAGCCTTTACCCCCTCCCACATTTTATGGTGCGAGTACTCAGGATCTGAGGTATTAAGCAAGAAGGCCAGGGAAGCTGATGCAGACAGGCAGAAAGAGAGTGTTTTCTTCCTGAGATAATCATTATTGGAATTGTCTGGTTATCTTCTGTGACCTTCCTGGTTCAAAGTGATAAACTCAAGTTACTCGAGGCTAGACATTGTGCAACAACAGATGCGGGCACCGTGTGTGTGTGTGTGTGTGTGTGTGTGTGTGTGTATGGTGTGTGCATTCGAGTGTGCACACAGAAGGAAGAATCCCACAGAAGGAAGAATGTTACAAATGGGAATTCTTACAAGTAAGGCAAAAAAATCCTAAGGCAAAGGTGATAACCTTTGTTCTTCTTCTAATTGATAGGCTTTCTGCCTTCCTTGTACTATCAGGCATAAAGAAAATTAGGCCTCCTTTCGAAATTCCAACACAAGTATGTAAAATAACGAATGATGTTTGACTAATGAATTAGCATCAACAGGCCAGCCTCTCAGATTCTAATTTTTAGCACCTTGAAAAGAAGGCACAATTCAAATGCCATCTCTTTCACATTCAGGGTGTCCATCTCCTAAATCCTGTTTTAGGGGTGTACAGTATATACACCACTGGGCACTCCAGGGACAGGACAGTCAGGAGCGACGCAAACTTCAACGAGATGGACAAGGGTGATAACCTGTATTTCTCTTCTAATTGACTGTCATAAATAAAGACTATCCAGCAAGTCTTATTGTTTTCTGCGAGATTTGAGCAATCTCCTAACCCTAAATTATAGCTGAGCATAAAAATAGCTGAGTATAAAAATTAGCAAGGTGCCTGTGAGCCAGGGACTGTTTCAAAGTGGACTCCCACAGGTTTAGTGCTGCATAAACCTGTAGCAAGACGACGTGTACTGCATTCCTTCAGATGGCCTGTTAAATACATACACATAGGGCAGGTTTATATTTCAAACGCTTGGGGAGCTTGTGACCTTCAGCTACATACTCCTGCGTAGCTACTGACGGCTCATCGGCGGCTACGGCTGCTGGAGAAACAGGAAGTCCACCCTAATACCAGCCAGGGTGCACACCGCCGGCATTACGCAGGAGCGGCCCTTGGTTCTGCGACCCCAGTGTGGGCCAGGGAACCCTGCTCTCCGCCACCACGGGCCCGCACTTGTGCTGGGGACAGGGGACTCGTGGAACTTCTCCCCCAGGACAGAGGAAAGCTCTGCGCAGACTATTCCCTGCTCGCCAGATGAGAAACCAAAATGCACAACAGATTGTCTAAGGAATATTGGGAGACAGAGAACCAGGAAAAGCTCCCAGCGATGGCGAGCTGGCTACTGAGGGGATCACCCGAGGGGTAGAGGCATCTCCAGAGCCTCTCCAAAGCGGCAGAGGCTGCTTTGGAAGGTAGCAGCAGCACAAAGCGTTTCCGAGCGGACCGTGCGGAGCACCCACGCCTCCTTGCGGGTCCTCGCCTGCGAGCAGAGCAGGTAAAGCGCGGCCGAGCTGCCCCGCAGCGCACGGATTCCCCGCGGACGCCCCGCCAAGCGCCCGGCTGCGGCTGCTTCCACTGAGAGGGAGAGGAGAGACGGAGAGCAGCAGCGGAAGAGAGGCTGGGGACCTGCGCAGGGGTCTGCGACCCGAAACGCTCCAGCGCTTCACAGAGGGGCGAGGGGGCCCCCGAAAGTGGGGCTCGTCCGGCCT